TGAACCCTGAACCCAAGAGCTCTAAACCCTGAAATCCTAAGCCCTCAAACCCTAAACCCTGAACCTTGAATCCGAAGGTCAGCAAGTCGGGCGCGTGAAAGGCTTTAGGATTTAAGGTTTTCGAATTGAAGGGCGTAGGATTGCAAAGGCCGCAGGACGGATGAAATCTTTTTATCGCCCAGGACCGCCAACAGCAGTCGTGTGTCGCATCTGCACCTATAGCTCGAGTATGGCATGCTGCCAACTTCTGAAGATACGATCAAAAACCTGTGGGTCTTTGGGAATGGAGTGAATGGGGTACAATTATGACTACTATTACTACCATTCTTCCATTCCCTACTAACCAAAGGTAAGTTGGCTCCTCCAACAAGTCTTATGGAGGGCCCACGTAGCTGAAGAACGGCAGCGGATTGGGCCCCAAACTATTGAGCCCTAAGCTTCAGAGGATTGAGCCTTAAACCCCAAGCCATAAGCCCCACACTTAAAACCTTAGACTCAGGCCTCCGCCCTAGACGCTTACTCGCTTACTTGGAGGGTGGGGGGGACTTAGTAACTGGTTATTTTAGGGACTTATAAGTACCATAACCCCAATTAGGGTCCCTTTTAGGGTACTTATAAGTCTACTTACTAATTACTTACTAAGTCCCCCGACCCCCCAAGTAGGTACCTCCGGATCCCACCTTCAAAGTTGGCAGCTTGGGGACCGTGCCTACAGACGCACAAGCGCTCCAACCCGACGACCCTCCAAGCAACTCTGATCAAGGAAACCTACAGTAGAAGCCAAAAAGCTGGAAACCCGCCAGCCCTAATCCTTAAGAGAAATGTAAAGGGTTCCCAGCACTATTTGGCCTCAATCCGGTTTCCAACTTTAAGGAGCTTACTGTAAACCCCGAATAACCTTACCTTCAGGACTACTATAACAAGAAGGAAATCATGCGAAGGAAGAGTAAAAGGGTAGATATTCTGAGGACCCCCTTCAGGATTTCTAATAAAAGTAAGGTGGTCATGCTATGGAAGCCGAAAAACACGTTAGATATTCTAGGGTTCAGGTATGCCATAAATCCTTACGGGCTGAGCCTCTTTTTCCCAAGAAAGGTTAACCGCTATGCTATGGTTTTACAGAGCGCAACAAGGTGGAACATGACCTACTCAGCCCCTCAGAATCATATTGTATCAAGGATTCAAGATCCAAACTTCCAAACCCCTAGCCAACAATCAAGGCTTATATCAAAAGTTCTATCAAGCCTTCCTCTGTGTTAATAAAGATCCCACTACGTACAAGGGAAGGTATAGATTGCTGCATAGAGGTGTTTGGAGTCTCTAGGAACCCCAGTGGGGCTAAAAGCCACGCACTTTTGGCTGAGGGCCTAATTCCTTAGGGCTTAGTGCGGCCTGTTTTCGGGCGGTCCTTGTGAAGTAGGGTTTAGGGTTTGGCTGCCATATGAGATTCATATCGGCCCTGCATGGGAAAGCTCTTGTAGACCTACTGCACGCCCTTCAAGTTGTGCCTCCTGCAATTTCACAGTCATGAACCAAGAAACTCTTCGCTATGTCCTGTTACTTGCTGCCCTACAAGATGAACCACAAACGAACCAATCCCAAAAAGTGTTAAAAACTACTACCCGCAGGCCTGCAGCAATCTTTATAATTTGGCGTAAAGTAGCCCGTATACAGGAACCGTACTAGCTTAGACTTGAAATCCCTGAACTCTCCATCGAAATTCCCGAAAGACTCAAGGTCTTGCCCGGCCGGTCCCCTACGTCTCGCCCAGGTGTCTGCTCAAGACTCTAGGGCTTGGATGGCTTTCGGATTCCGAATTTTGTGCGTAGGGTTCTCAGGTTCGGAAACGGTCGAGGGCTAGAATCACCATTCGGAGGGTTATACCAGCCGTGCGGTACAGTGTGTCGCATCACAAGCCTGGGTCTGTAGAACAGGGCTGGGGGGTATGTTTTCAAGGAGCCCCAAGGAATGAAACAGTGATGTTGGTAATCCTTCCGACCCCTTAAATCAGGGTTGCCTCTGGGGATGAAAGACTTGACGGTTTCAGAATCAGAACTGTCGATTTCTGGGGTTCAAGGGGGCTTTTGCCCCACGAACCGTCCAAGGAAGCCGGCTGTGCAAGACTACCTTGGCAATGAAGCCTTCAGTCATTAGCCGTAGAGTTTTTTACGGGTTGAGGTTTAGGGCTTAGGGGTTTGGGGGTTTAGGGCGTAGGCCAGTATATGAACAGGATACTCAACTCATGCGTTCGGTTTTCGGGTGTCCGCACCAGTCACCAGATCCATATCCCTCCAGAAACGAACAAACTTGAATCATCAAAAGGGCTCGAAACCCCTTAAACCTCTCGATAAAACGGAATCCCATGTGAAGACGAACGGTAATTACATGACAAGGATCCTATAAGCCCGCAACTCTAAGCCCTAAAACCGAAAATCCTCGGAAGGTTTAGGGCCAGGTTTGAGCAGGAATACAGGTGAGTGGTTGTCAAAATAATGGTCCCTTTTTGGGTCCTTAGTATAGTACGGCACCGAATATTTAGGGTACCCAAAAAAGGGCAATAATTTTGACAACTACCCAGGCCAAAAAAAATCGTGGTTCGAAATGACGCGCGGATGAAACGATAGTTAGTTAGCATACTAAACACCCTACTCCTCAAAGTGCTCGAAAGGGTTGCTAGAAAGGGCTGCACACCCTGAACTCTCAACAATGAACCCTGCATATGGGAATTTCCGAAAAGTAGGGGTACCTCAATATGGGGTCCTTGAAATAAGGATCCTACTATTTAGGGTACTGAGATGAGGGCCCCCTATTTTCGGAAACCCCCATATAGTCTCCCTTGTAGCTCCTTCGCTCCCAACCCCTGCCTGGAAGCCCCCCCCCTCCCCAGGCCTTGAACCGTAGATCAACCCTACCCTAACCCTGAAGAACCTACCTTTTTAGGGTTCCTTATTATGATTTCCTTATATATCCTTAAACAGGTAAGTCATTCCGGGTTTAGGTAAGTCCTAATCCCCACCCTAAGCCCGAAACCCTAGATCTGCATCAAGCCACCTAGCTTGAGTCCTCAGTAAGCTCCCAACGCTATAAACCCCAATGTAAATCCTAGAGTTCCTAAGTCCTACTGAAACCTAAGCTCTAAATCCCATAAGCTTAAGTCTTAAATCCTAAATCCTAGAAGTCCTAAGTCCTAGATCCTAAAGTCTGAATCCTACCAAAACTCCAGTCAATACCACGGAAGCTCAGTGCCAAGGTAGCTGCGCAACCTCCGCTCCGAATTGCTGAGAGCCCAGCAGGGCACCTCCGAGATTGAAGAGATTTAAGGCTAGGGGTTTTTAGGGGTTGAGGGTTTAGGGGTCTAGGGTGTAATTAGTGCGTGGAAAGGGGTTTACGGGTTGAGGGTTTAGGGATCTAGGGTTTAGGGTTTTAGGGGTTTCAGGTTGGTTAAGGAAGTTTCGGGGTCTCAGGGCTCTTAGAGGGTTAAGCAGCTACAGGGGTTCTTTCTATGAAGCATATAGCTGGAAGTGTTCTATAGCGGGCTCGAGGAACTCTCCGAAGGCTGTTTTCTGACTTTGGGCTTTCAGAGATTTCGGGCTTGAGGCTTGGAGTTTCATCCTCGGGGGTTGGGGTTTTACTTTTCGAAACAAAGGTTTAGGGTTTGGGGTTGGAAGTGTTCGACACGAGTTAAAAGAGCACAAGGCTTGCAGAGAAAGTAGGGCTTTTAGGATTCGGGGTTTAGGGTTTAGGGTTTTAGGGTTTAGGGTTTAGGGTTTAGGGGGGATTCATGCGGAAGCTTCGGAGGCCTCACAAGGCGGGATGAAGGTAGGTGGGATTAAGGATCCCTTATACAAGGACTCTTAATTGGGAATATCCCACCTACCTTCATCCTACCTTTTGAGGCCCCCGAAAGCTCGGGCTTCATCCAGGATTCTGGGCTTGCGGTTTCGAGCTCAGCGGCTAAGGGCTCAAAAAGCCTTAAACCGGGTAGTCGGCAAACTCCTCTGGGCGATGGGAGCCTTGAGGGTTCAGGGGCCTGGTCCCTTGAAAGGGATCTCTAGGGATTCTATAGGGGTTTCGGTGGTTAAAAGTTTAAGGTATTCGGGTTCAGGGTTTAGGGTTTTTTTCGGGTTTTAGGAGTTTAATAGTTTATGGTATAGGGGTTTAGGGCTCAGGGGTTCAGGGGTTGAGGGTTTAGGAACATGTAAAATGATGAGACTTCCTCTACTGCTCATCAGGCTTTGAGATACCATTAAGGCCGTCCTGACTTGGGCTTCCACATAGAGCAGCCCCATGTCTTTCTGAAGGCTTCTGGCAGGTATATATGTATCTGTCTATATGTATATATGCATATATAATACTAACAGTTAATATATAATGTGTATATATGATATCATTATATATATATATATACAAATTCATGTATATAGATCAGGACACTGCAGAATCCAAATACGGAGACCTCGAATTCCTGCCGGGCCCATAACCCTCAACCCCACAAGCACTAGTAAACCTACACCGAAACCTTAATCCTTAATCTCTGGTTCAGGGAGAAGCCCCACACAAGTCTAAGGAATGTCGCTTCATCACGAGTCCTTGAGGCTTGCGATCTCCTTCACTATGGTCGCCTTAATAATTGGAATACTGTACGGTTCTTTGGGTATACTTTTGTAAAGTTAAATCAAAATCCTGTTGAACAACTCAGGAATAGTTTTGGTATTTGTGCGGGCTTCTACAGTGCCACTGCCACCATTGTTTGAAGCCTAACAAACCTACCCCTAATCCAACGGCATTACAAATTTGAACCCGAAAGCCCAAGAGCCCTAACGATTGAATCTTGGACGTTCAGCGTGAAGGCCTGCTCAAAACAAGTCTAAAGCATGAACAAACTCACCTAAACCCTAAACCCTAAAATCCTAAAATCCTAAACCCTAAATCCTAAAACCTAAAACCCTAAAACCCTTAAATCCTAAACCCTAAACCTGCCTAAGGCCCCAGGCAGCCTCTCAAGCCTTCGCGCCGGAAGAGGTATTCTGCAGCACCACCTGTTGGGGGGGGGGTCGGGGGCCTTAGTAACTCCTTTAAAGGGCTCTATAAGGGTAGTTTGCAACACAGCCTGAAGCGTTACTTGGGGGGTCGGGGGCCTTAGTAGTTAGTGAGTAGACTTATAAGTACCCTAGAAAGGACCCTAATTGGGGTTATGGTAATTAGAAGTCCCTTAAATATAAGGTTACTAAGTCCCCCGACCCTCCAAGTGTTGGGGGCATCTCTTAAAGAAGGGTCCAAGTAATAGTATAGTCTATACTTTGGGGGCCCGAATACCTACTAAGTACCTACTATAATAGTACTTGGAGCCTTTGGGTTAAAGAAGGGGTAAGATGATGCAGAATTGCTTGCCTCACCCCTAAACCCCTAGACCCTAAACCAGCGCCCTGATTTAGCTTGATAGGATCCTTCCCGGTGAAGGCTCCCGACGTGGGCCACATCGCATGGGAGATTGAAAAGCTAATCTCAGCCTTTCCGGTCGGATAACGAACCCAAGCCTCACCCCCTGAACGTCTGAACTTCTGAGTCGTAAGCCACAAACCCGCCGCGAAATCCTCAGCGAGGAGCCCCAGTCCATGATGCTGGATCCAAACATTCATGCAAAATCCCCACCTGTAGCTGTGCGCAGCCACGGGTGGTGCCGGAGTTTGTCTGCACGTCCGCATAGTCTGTTTTGATCTTAGGCGAGCCGGGAGGGTTCGGGTCGGATTTGGATTTCGGGTGCATGTGCTGGCTTCCGGCGTCCATCAATCCAGCCCTTTGAACTTTGACCCTTGACCCGAAAAGAACGACGAGGCCTATATAAGCATCCAAGTTAGTTAGAGCCTGAATTAATGTGGGACCCCCGTCTGCGGAACCGTAAGTCATAGGATCTTTGCCCAGCGGACCCCAGAGCAAGCGACCTCCAGGGCCACGAATGAAAAAGTGTTGGCGTATATATATATATATATATAGATGTATATACACACGACAACAATCTCACATATTCATAATATACAACAAACATGTAGCTGGAGATGTTCACACATAGTCATGTGAAGAACATATTCATGTCTCCGTGGCTCCTTAACAGCAAGACCCTGGCCCGGAGCTTGCACAAAGCCCTGGGGGTCCTAAAGGCCCAAAGTAGGTACTTCTTATAGACTCCCTAGACCCTAAACCTCAAACTCTAAACCCTAAGACCCTAGACCCTAAACTCTAGACTAGACCCCAAAGTAGGTGCTATTTGTTTACTTGGAGCCCTACGGAAAAGAAAGCTCCATCCCCAGCAGCGCCCGCATGAGATCTCCAGCCCTGAAGCCGCAAAAACTCTGAGCTCGTTAACCGTTAGGGTTTAGGGTTTAGGGTTTAGGGTTTAGGGTTTACCCCCAACCCTACGACCTGGTATACAAACCGCCCATGAATCAATTTTGGGTTTGGGGCTTAGGGTTTTAGTGTTTCGGCTATACAGTCAGCCCGTCAAGATTGGGTCCGCTGGCTTCTTTGATCGTCGCCAGGCTTTCTTTCTCACAGCGCGAGGCCTAAGCGTGCATGGTTGACCAAGCGAGTTCATTGTTCATAGTGTGTTGAATATCTGCACCGTCTTAATGTCATTATCATTATCATGATTATTGCTATTACGGGTATTAGTAGTTGGTATGTTTACTTAGGGTTCGGGGGTGTGGAGGGTTAGGGGTAATTGGGCTGAGGGCCTTGCCGGGCTTAAGAGTTCAGGTTGCAGCGCGCTCTTACAGCATCCTGGCAAGTCGTGAAATCTTTACTAATTTAGTAACCCATGCTGTAGCTCTGAGGGTACGCTCGACAGTTCCACAGGGAGCAACCAAGTACGACCCCTAGGGTCCAAAGTTATTACCTACATGACGAAATGTAGGGTTTCAATACTGGAAACTACAATAATGATCTGGGGAAGTATCCCCCAGAACAGCACCCCTGCAGATCCCTTGAAGGAGCCCTTAAAGGGACCCCTACAGATCCCATAAAGGAAATCCATAAACCCAGAGAACCCAATACCCCTTAATTAAGGAACATACCTTAAATTATAGAGGCCTAATATTATGATTTGAGGTATATTCCTTAATTAAGGGGGTATTGTGATCTCTGGGAAGTATCTTCCGGGACCCTTTCGGCAAGCACACCTCGAGCAGAAGCCCAAAGCCCGTTGAGCTCCCAACGTCTTATCCAAGGGTACAAGGAGGGACCTTTAATAAGTTTTATAGCTATTATATACCCATTATATAGCCCATTATAGGGTAGGGCCCTCCTTTTCCCCTTTGATCTTAGGCTTCTTATGAGCCCTGAACCGTACAGGGTTGAGGGTATTAGGGGTTTAGGGTTTAGAGTTTAAGGTTTGGGGTTTAGGGGTTTCGGGTTTAGGGTATTAGGGTCTAGGGTTCAGGGTAGTACAACAACTGAGGAATAACCCCTATAAACCATAAGCCACTTAGAAACCCCTCCATCAGCCCTTCCTAAGCTCCCAACCCCTAGGTCAACCCTACCTAAACCCTGAAGCCCTGATTCCAACTGTAGGAGAGCAGAATGAATCTTGAACTCCTACCCTAAGGGTCCAAAGGACCCAATGACCCAGAACTTCGGTTTAGGATAGTAGTTATGTAGCTCAATACTTAAGAGAGTATATGGTTATTAAGTACGTGGACCCTTAGGGCTACAGACCTCTTCAGGGAGCCCTGAAGGTTTATTCCTTTTATTAAACTAAGGGGATATTAGGAGTCCCTGGGGACCAGGATGCAAGCCCCTATAAACCCTGAATTCAGGGTTTAGGGGTTTAGGGTTTAGGGTTTAGGAACCGAGACCAGAATGATTCCTAAACCCTTAAACCGTAAGCCATAAACCCTAAACCCTAAACAAAGACCAAAAAAATCGAGCGACCACGGAGGCCACGATGCCAATAGCCTCTCCCAGGGCTGTCACTCGGAGCTCCTGCATGTGTAGAGTTGTTCTTTAAGCCCTTTGAAAATTATTGACTATTATGGTTCTCTACAAAATAGTAGGGGAAATTAAAAAGATCCCAAAGGACAACCCAGGTGTAGAGTTTACGGATCAGGGATTCAGGGTGCAGAGTTTAGGGATTAGGGTTTGCAGGGTTTTAAGGTTCAGGCTTTTCGGGTTTAGGGATTAGGGTTTACGGTTCAGGGTTTTAGGGCTTAGGGTTTAGGGCTTTTGGTTTTCGAGTTTTAGGGTTTAGAGTTGAGGTTTACGGTTCAGGGTTTGCGGGTTTGAGGAAGCTCCCGAGAGTCTCAGGGGGCGTGGTGATGGGGTTTTGAGTTTAGGGCTTTAGGGGTTTAGGATCTAGGAGGTTTAGGGTTTAGGGGTTTAGGATCTACTTGGGGGTCGGGGGACTTAGTAAGTAGTTAGTAAGTAGACTTATAAGTACCCTTAAAAGGGACCCTAATTGGGGTTATGGTACTTATAAGTCCCGAAAATAACCAGTTACTAAGTCCCCCGACCCTCCAAGTAGGAGGTTCAGGGTTCCCAGTCTTGGCCTGAACCGGCTTCTTGTCTTCTGTGCCGCGCAGGAAGGATGCTGCAGCACGCATGTAGAAGGCAACATTCCTAGGTAAGACCAGGAGTCGGTTGAGGCTTTGGAGGGGAGCTTTGGGATTGAAGGGGAGCTTGAGGCTTGAGGCTTTCGGAGCTATATGCGTAGGTGCGAAGACGCAGCAAGTCAGTTGCAAACAGGTCCGCAAGCCGAACACGTGCTTCGGATGAGACACAACCATAACCACCAGCAGAACGATAAAAACACCACCACCACCAAGAACAACCACCACAACCACCACCACCACCACCACCACCACCACCACCACCACCACCAACAACAATCACCACCAACCAGACTACAAGGGTTTAGGGTTTAGGGTGTTGGGTTATAAGCCTGAAGAAGACCAGTGAACAGCTCGAGAGCATTCTCATTGGAGTGCCCGGGCCCCCCGCTTTTTGGCGGTGATCTTCATAAGGGCCACATCCTCGTCTCCCATGATCGCCTCCAACAGTCAAAGGGTTTCAACTCCCTTAAACACTCTATGAGGGCTTGAAAACTGTGCTGTATCTAACAGACCTCATATAAATAGGAAAGATCTTCCTTCAGGGAGCAGTGCAAAGGTTTTGTTGTTGGCGATGCTACAAGAGTGCCAAAAGTATACACCTGCTGCTGTGTGCCTAGAAAAACTTGACCCCGATACCTCGACGTGCTCTGCAAGTTTCACCCGCAGACTCATTAAATTTGGACTGAGTACATGCAAGGATGCCTCTGTCACTCAAGGGATGTTCCGAATGGAAGGGGTAGTGAGGCGCTTGCAATGCCCTGGCGGTGTCAAAACCCCCAGTACCAGTCGTTATAATCTACTTCACACCTTAAGCCCCGTAAACTACCCAAAACCCCGAACCCTAAACCCTAAAACCCTAAACCCCCAAACCCTAAACCCCTAAACCCTAAGCCCTTATGTAACCCTAAACCGGCCCCTAGCTAGCGATTAGGCTATGCCACCCAGAGACTCCAACATCCCTCAATTAAGGAAAATAATACCTTAAATCATGTTAAGGATCCTACTACAATTCCAAGTATATTCCTTAGTCAAGGGGCATTCGAGTCTCTGGGCAGCCTGATGCTTCTGGTAACAGTGCGCCTTGAGCCCTGAGCCCTAAAAGCTCAGCTCCGCACCCTAAGCTGGAAACCCTACGTAGTGGGCCAATTTAGGGCTGAGGGGTTTATGATTTTGGGGCCCATTATACTATAGTTGGAATGAGGAACCTCCCACCATAGTATTGGTAATTCTTTCAGCCCGGTGTAGGGTTTATCTTTTTTATTTGCGGGCCCTTGTCCGTCTGCATGGTTAGCGATCAGAGTTCCCAATGGGAGGTGCCTGTAGGGCAGAGGGTTTAGGGGCCTAGATTTAGGGTCCGAACCTGCAACAAAAATCGACCCCTGAACTCTCCCTACCCTAAACGCCGATGCCTGTCGAGCGCAGACGCCCAGGTCACTCAAAGCACGCGTTCTCGCCAAGTTTGAGCCAAGTTCTGCCGAACCGCAACTTCACAAAATGGAAGACCCGTTTATGTGCCATGGAGGCCTTGATAACAAATCGTATAGGGATCTGGGGTACTGTAACGTATCGTACAGTAAAATATACTCAGGAACCCTTAGGAACAAGTTTGTGATTGTTGAGACTTCTATCGTAACTCGACAGCAATAACCGGATCCTCGTTTCGCAAGCATACTATGTCCTCGATTGGATCTTGAAGGAACACCTACCCCAGGAGTCAACATAACCATTTCTACTATTGGCCTTACAGTAATCCCTCTATAGGCACTTTGGGGCCGAAGTATACACTTTTTGGTTACATGGACCCGTAGGGTCATGCCGCGGTTCAGCCGTAGCCAAGGTATCCGAAATAGGAGGACATGCAGCTAAGTGTCACATTTTTGCTGCCTTTCACCCCTAAAACCTACAAGGGCAATAAAAGGGGCTGTAAAGGCTTGGTGGGTCTGGGGCTTAGAGTTTAGGGTTTAAGTGGGTCTCTTGGGGTCTTCAAGGGTTTTATTTATAGGGTTTGGGATGTACCTGTGCCGCCCCCCCTCCGCCCCCCTCGCCCCTCCCACCTCCACCATAAGATCAACTACCTGAGCCTTTGTTAAGGAACTCTACAAAGAAATCACGATCTTGAATCTGCCACTACGATCTGCAACACGACACCCTGAACGGGAGAAATGAACAGTGGATCCTCAACCACAAGCACACATCCTGAACCCGAAACATTCAACGGTCTGAGTGCCCCGGCACCTCGCGACAGCCGGAAAGGCTGTGCACAGCCTGCGCGACCTGGGCTTCAGGGAAACTCTAATTCACTGGGTACCCCACTATCGGAGACTACTGGAGGGAGCTCTAAACACAAAACCCCAGCAGTGCTTGATATGCTGTAATATAGGGGCCTTAATAATTTGCATAGGGTTTGGGGGTCCGTTCTACTATAATGACAATAGTAATAAGGAACCCTTTGAAGGAACCCTGGTACTTGATATATGTATACTCTACGATCATGATAGTATTCTGGAAGCCTTTAAAGGAACCCTGGCACTTGATATATGTACATTCTACTATAATGATAATAATAAGGAGCCCTTTAAAGGAACCCTGGCACTTGATATATGTACATTCTACTATAATGATAATAATAAGGAGCCCTTTAAAGGAACCCTGGTACTTGATATATGTACTGTAATGATAATAATAAGGGACCCTTTAAAGGAACCCTGGTACTTGATATATGTACTGTAATGATAATAATAAGGGACCCTTTAAAGGAACCCTGTAACTTGATATACTGTAAACCGTGAACCGCCTTCGAGCAAGCGAGGCGCTGCGTGGCTTCCATTCACGGCGGCGGTGCGCAAGACCTTGTAGCAAATGACCAGGGTTTAGGGTTTTAGGGTTTAGGGTTCCGTTGCATGCCGTTGTGATGCAGACTACATCATGCAGTTCCGTGAACTCTTGAACCTAGCCCCTGAATTGGAAAGTCTGTTCATTCTCCTTGGCTCTCTAGGCTAACTAAAGCCTTTATGAACAGTTGAAACCCTTCTTAGAAACCCGCTTCCCAAATGTTCCCACCAATTCCCTCGTTCATTTAGAGTTTGACGGGTCCGGGTTTATATGGTTTGTAGTGGCCTTTTTCCACAGCCTACTGATCGGAAATCGGGTTTAGGGGTTCCTTCAAAACACGGGATCTGAAACTGAAGCCAACAAGGAGCGGGTGTTCGAGCCACTTGAAACTAACGACAATGTCGGGGAACCCGACTACTATCCCAAGACTTCAACTTAAACAAGAAGAGGACTACTAAGATTCAAAGGGCTACAGGAGTCCCTGTAATGCAAATTCTGTACTAGGATAGGCAGAGGGTCCTGTTGTAAAGTTTAACAGGAAAGTCCAGAAGGTGGGAATTCAGAAGTTTGGTGTTGCTACGTTTTGTGCCCAGCTCAGTGGGTGGGGTTCGATGCAAGGAGATCAAGAATGGACAATGTGAAGGCCTTCCGGGTAGAAACTTTTCAACATTCCCCCAAACCGTAAATCTCTCCTCTGCATCCGGTCACACCAAACTCCGAACCGAAATTCAAATCTAAAGCCCTGTCAACCGAAAGTTTGAAAGCTTAAACCCTTAACCCAAATCCAAAAACCCAAAAATGACACAAAGCAAACAACCTAGATGCAATCGTAGACCTTTGAACCCCTCAATCTCCGAAGCCCTTTTATACCCCAAAACCCTCAACTCCTGAATCCCGAAACCGCCTGCAAGGAGTCGTGGAAGCCGATGGCGCACTCAGAAGCCTCCCGAAAAGAAACTGTGTAACACCGGGCCTGAAAAAGGTTGAGGGTTTAGGGGTTTAGGGTTTATGGCTTAAAAAAATTGTGATACTGCTCCCTTATCGTCTGTATGTAAGATCATGCGTCCCAAACATTGCCCTATTTCTTCAGAACCCCTATAGCGATCCTTGTAAACGCTGCATGTGGCTTTAAGGCTTCGGGCCCAAGGCTTGTGATTTACAGTAAAGCCCAACAGCTGGAAACCCAATAGCCTCAATCTTTAAGAGTTATGTGTAGGGAATCGCAGCACTATTTAGCCTTAGTCCGACTTCCAACTTTACGGGGTTTACTGTAAGGCCCCTACATTATAGGAATCATTTACAGATCCCTTCTTCTAGACCCTTTTACAGATCACTTATCATCGACCCTTTAAAAAGGAGCTGTTTAAAGGAAACCTATATTCCTGTATGATTTTGGGCTTTAAGGCTCTCAGGATTTCAGTCTTGCGAGCTCAAAGTTGGGGGATTGAGGCAGCCTCTGGGTTGCTGCACCCGAATCCCTCAAAGCCAAAAATCATACAGGAATATAGGGTTCCTTTAAAGAGCTCCTTTAAAGGGTCTATAATAAGGGATCTATAGTAGGGTCTAGAATAAGGGATGTATTTTAGAGTGCACGCCCACCAATGTCCGATCATCGGAAGCATGTGGCTGTATGTCTAGGGACTACATGCATATATGTGCATGTTCATGTAAACGTCAACGTATACGTAAATGCAAGTACAGGTAGTTGTATAGATTTAAATGTATTGTATGTGTATGTATGCCTGCATGCATGCACGCAAGCTTGCATGCATGTGCATATGCATGCACCCACACTTGCATGCATGTAAATGCGTGCATGCCTGTGTGAGTTTGTGTCTGTGTGTGTGTATGTATGTATGTATGTACGGTTAAGACTCGAGGGCCTCGTCTCAGTGATTCTTCAGACCTCTGTAGCGGGCTCATTTCTGTGGTTCAGCGTTCCCCGGATTAGACATGTGCCCCTTAGGGTTCAGAGTTTAGGGTCCTTGCGTTTAGGGGTTGCAAGGTTTAGGGTCTTATGGTTGACTATACCCTGAAAACGCGTGCCTTTCCTTGTGGCAGCTTGTGTCATGTACATCTAACGTGATCCCTTCAGATCCCACCCTAGACCCGAAACAGAAGTAGGGAATCTTCAGCACCATTTCTCCGGAAAGCGCTTTCGGGAGGTGGTCCCATGGCATCAAGAGCTCGGGCTTTCCACCTGCACCGTGAGTGCAGAATGTGTCGATTCAGGTTTTGAGTAGGGTTTGGAGGATAGGCTTGAGGGTTCTTTCTTTGTTGGTTTTACATTGTTCCGCCTCTTTTCAGCTTTCGAGCGACTGGAAAACCCAAGCCCTTAGACCCAGGCCAAAACCCGAACAAACCTTTCAGATTTCAACCCCTCAACCCTACCAGAACTAAAGCCGCATTAAGCTCAAGACGGCACCGAAGCAACACAAAAAGGAGATTCCTCCCCTGCTTTGAGGTCGCAGTCCCTTATGGAGCATTAAAGCTGTATGCGGATGAAGTAAGCGAACTTGAGGGCTTGCCTTGGTCGTGATTGGCATTTTGGGGGTTTCGGCCTTCTCTTTGGGTGGCGGTTGCTCTGCGTCGCCGGCTGGGAGCTCCACCCGAAGCCGTGCCGAAATAGCGTCGGCGATGCCTGCTCGCAGTTTATGAACTCAAGTTGTAGACTTCTATATAATACATATGTATGTGTACATCCAAAAAAGGAAATATGTAGATATATGTATATATACACATATACAGACAACTAATACGTATCTGTATATTGACTTCTCAGCGGAAGCTAAACTCTAACACTCCTGCACCTACAGGGACCTCTTTGTGCCTTCTCGGGGCCTAGAAAAATCTACGTCCTGGTCGCACACTTGGAGGTTCATGGGACCTAGTAAAGGTTCCTTAAAGGGCACCTTAAAGGGATCTATAGGATTCCTTAAAAAGGGATCTTGGCGGTTTAGGGTTTAGGGTACTACTTGGAGGTTCATGGGACTTAGTAAGTACAGTCATAAGTACTTTGACTGGGGATATGACCACCTAAAAGTATAGTTACCTTATTTATAACCCTAGTTACTAAGTACCATGAACCTCTAAGTAGACCCTAAACCCTAAACCCTATAGATCCCATTAAGGAACCCTATAGGTCCCTTTAAGGAGCCCTTTCAAGAGCCCTGGTTACTAAGTACCATGAACCTCTAAGCAGGCACTTGCACGGGACACTGGAGAAAAAGGGAGGTTCGTAGTTCAGCCTTTGGCCAGGCTTTCGGGTACGCTTTAGGGTTTAGGGTTTAGAGTTTAGTAAACAACGGGCCTCGATAATTAGGACAGGGTTTTTGGGGGCCTATACTATCAAGGTTGGTTCGAGTCGGAATCTGAACCCTGAGCTCTAAGCCCATACTATCAAGTTAAGAAGGAAGGACACTTTGAGAATTACATCAGTAACCGTGTAAGTATTAAGCGTCTATGGCGCAATGGGTTTAGGGTCCTGCGTTCACCCCGGACTCGAAACGGTCGAACGCCAAGGCCAAGCAGCACAGGTAGTTTGTTTGAGCAAGTGTTCCCGCACTTCAGATCCGCGTCCCTCTTTAGGAAGACTTGAGCTTTGCACGTGCTTTGTTGTTCTCCGTGCTGGCTCACTTCTGTCCATCTTGTTACGCCACTCTAAACCCTATACCCTAAATCCTAAACCCTAAACGGAGAACCACGCCCAAGGAACCAAAAATACACTCATTTTGGGTGGTCTCCGGTCTATATATGGGAGTTTCCCGAAACTAGGGTACCTTATTTGGGGGTCCTTATACTAAGGATCCTGCTATTTAGGGTACTATATTAGAGCCCCCTATTTTCCGAAACCCCAATATTGATTACCTATACATGTTGCTTGGAACCAGCCGTGGACGGCAAGACGACACGACAATCTGGTACACAGTATATAAAATAACAGCATAATGACTCGTACGTAATGGGTTTAACGCACTTCTATCGGATCAGGCTTTAGGGTTTAGGGAAATAGGGCTTGGGGATCATACTGCTGATGGACAAAATCCTGCATTACCCCGAGGTCCCTCAACAGTAGGAAAAGCTGCTGTGGATAAGAATCGGCAGTCCGGGCCTCTGGCCGCGCGCCAGAAAACGAACATGGTCCCATAGCCGGGAAGGATCTTGGGTGTTTCCGAGACGGCTCAACCCGGTTTTGTACAGAGACATACGATGGATAGACAAACAGATATACATAGATGGTTACATACAACGATAGATGGATAGGTGGATAGATAGGTAGATAGGTAGATGGGTCAATAGCTCGATCGATCCGTAAACAGATCTACAGGTAGATAGGTAGATAGATAGATGGATGGTTAGTTACGGTTAGCTAGAGATAGATGGCAAGCTTGGTAGATAGATAGCAAGATGGATAGATAGTACATCGTTACACAGATGCGACAGTTAGATCAAGCAATAGATCAGTAGATAGACCGACAAATAGGTTGATAGGTAGACAGGACATCAACATGTACCATTGTCATGTTGGAAACTACAGAAGAAGATGGTACATACGCAACGATACCAGGGCACCTGCATATGCCTTGTATGATGACATAGTCGAGTGTACTTGAACATGGGACATTACCATGTGAGGTCGAGTAATCAAGGGTTAACTCATATGTATGCTTCTAGCTGTAGCTTTATCATTATGTAAACAGACAGAGACAGAACGAGAGAGAGAGAGAGAGAGAGAGAGAGAGTCTGAGAGTCTCCAGCGGGGGGTAGAAACAGTTGCGTAAGTAATGCAGTTTCAGTCATGCTTTACCATCCTCTCCCAGTTAAGGTACGCTTGACCATTCTTAAAGGTATGCAAGAACTTAAGTATTGCGGCCGCAGGCACAGCATAGACCATAATGAGAAGGAAGGGCCAGATCCTGATGTTTCAACACTAATCTCCGAAAGCCACAATGCCTTCCTCCCTAAACCCAAAACGCTTACGTCCTGAACCCCAAGCAGAAACTGGGGACGTTGGAATAACTCTGCTGGAAACCGTACTTGGTAGGATGCTCTCCACTCTAAACACTAAATCCTTAAAATGTACGTGGCCTTAGAGGAACTAACTAACTACGGCTTAGGATTCAGGGAGCCCTTTACAGAAACCCTCAACCGCTAAAGGCCGCAGTCTCCTGCTGGCAGCCGCATCGGCCTTGTCCCCGTGAGCCGCACCCTGCATTTGAGGGATCTGATCTACGGGAGTTTCCGAAAATTAGGGGTACCTTTAACGGGATCCATAAGGGTTCCTTCAAGGGATCTACAAGGGGAAGGGTTTACTTAGGGTTTGGGAGTTTCCGGGTACTGCATTAGGGTCCCCTATCTTCGGAAACTCTGATATAAGGGCCTTGATCATTAGACTGGTGTTTTGGGGTTTTCTCTTGTGTACTATTCAGGAACTATGTCCTGTACTACAATTGTGGAATTAGGTCCCAACACACCATCCCTTATTAGGGTCCCTAAACCCTAGACCCGAAACCTTATATGTACATGAAAGGATGGATTCTCATAGGTAGACTTGGGGATTTTGTTGATCCCATCCAGCGTAATTATTGTCTATGCTTTATTACAGTGCTGTAGGAGTATATAGGGTTAGAGAACCATGAACTTGAAAGCCAAAAAGACAGTGCACATGCATCTGGGGGATACTTATTATATAGCTAGGCGGCATTAGGTTTTCTGGGTTTATTGGGGTCTGTTAGGGTTGCTCTGCGTATGGGTTTGGATTCTGAGGAGACTCGCTGTTGGGGAGCTTGGTTCCCGAATTCAGTGATCTGGACTTTACACTTTAGGTCACTGTACGTGTCCATGCGCTCCCCGTTTTCCGCCAACGCCGACCCACTTCAGGGCCGTGTATTCCGAACTTGCCGACAAGATGGCCTAGCTAAGTAGAAGACATGTGTTTTGTCCTGTTCGAGGGTAGGGGGTTGAGGGTAGGCTTCTCGAGCTGTACAGTTTAGGCTTCAAGACAATCAAGCATTGCCCAGACACCGTATAACTATAGATATACATACACACATATATATATATATATATGTATACTTATATATGCACACACATGCGTACATATATATATATATATATATATATATATACATACATACATACATACATACATACATATACGCATATGCATACGCATACGCATATGCATACGCATACGCATACGCATACATACCACCAGTACATACATGAAGATATACACATACATACGAGAAAAAATCAGCCGCGGGGTACTTGGGCAGCCCTTGTCGAACCCTCTAAGCCGCTCTGAAGCCCTGAACAACCCAAAGGGACCGATAAGAATGCTCCACGGCTGTGGAAAGGAGAGCCCCAAATGCCAAGCTCCTAAACAAGAAACCCAAGCCTCAAAGCCCTAAACCCTATAGTGCCACCAGGTCTGCACTTGATCCTGGTGTGGGATCCTCCGTGATCTGAAACTCTCGGCGGAGTGAAGCAGCAGCTGGTAACTATGAGGATTACTTGCGGATTACTGAATGGGTACTACAAAGCGTCAGCGTACGGGCAACCTTAACCGTACTACGAGGGGCCATGGAACTATCAGGGTGCCATCACGGCTGAGGCTTCAGGGTTTATAGGGTTCAGTTTGGGGCACTCTTTGGCTTGCACAACACAAAAAGGGCTGCTATAAGGGTTACTCTATCCAAGCCAACTCCCGTGGAGACTACCCCTAGGCCCCAAAGTAGTTCCTTCTTGGGACTACCATATAGGATTCTAAATATGAACCCCAACAAGGAACTACTTTGGGGCCTTAGGGTAGGTGAGGCCTGTGCCACCAGCTCTTTCAAGGCCGCCAGCCTCGCGAAACTGGCAGTGGCCTAAACCCCAAACCCTAAACCCCTAAACCCTAAGTCCAGAGCTTGAGACTTGAAGTCAGCTGAAGAGATCTGAAGTTTCCCTCAGGGTCCATGTACCAAAATAGTATATACTTTGGCTTCAACCTATCTATATAGGGACTACGCTAAGGCCAAAGCTATAGGGACCACTTTATCTATATAGGGACTACGCTAAGGCCAAAGCTATAGGGACCACTTTAAGGCCAAAGGTATAGGGACTACTTTAAGGCCAAAGTATATCCTACTTGGGTACATGGACCCTCTGGGTTTCGGTGTTCGGCAGCCTCGTGCGATGACCTTGGCTTATCTCAAACGCCCCCAGGCTTCTGGGCTCCGATGAGCCGGATGGAGTTCTACCAAACGATAGGCTTTAGGGTTGGGGTGGTTTAGGGTTTAGGGAGTCTGGGGGTTGCGGTTTGGGGTTTAGGATTCGGGCGGTTTAGGGTTATAGGCTTTGGGGTCTAGTAAATTTTGACAAGCGGTAGGGTAGCCTGCGTTCGGGCTGAGGGTCAGGCGATCTCCAACATCTGCCACCCTCTCATCCGACGACACGGCCTGCTTTCAGTACAGATCACGAAGACAGTCGCGCCATCGACGATGCGCTTCGTGATTTCGGAGGCCATGTGCTGCTCCCTTTCCTTTCAGGATGAGTCACTGAAAGCTAAGGAGGCTGAAGGGTTGTCTTAAGTGTGTCGCTGAATGATTTTGGCATGTAGCATCCCATGCTGAATACATGCATCTCTACCCACAGGCCATAGACAAAACAACAGCATGCAATATCAGCTGTGACACTCTGTCAGATAATTACCCATCTCTCTGTGCACCTGTCCATCGAGGGCATGGTCTCGTAGTGGACCCTTTTACTGCCATATTATGCTACTATATACACTGTTTGTACAAACACATGTTTTCTTATATGTGCGTATATAAGACCCCGCGAATGCCTTATCCTGCACCCTCATAAGTAGGTACATGGACCGGCAGAGAGACATGGCAGAAGGAGACGCCGGAGTCAACATCGCACTCATCATACACAACCAGCATCACGACCATCGTCATCGTAATCGTAATTCACCATTACACAGCATCAACATCATCATCATCATCATCATCGTCAGCATCAAGAAGCACAGAAAGCTTTATTGTCAATCTGTTGTCATGGAATCAGCAGTATATCCAGCACAGTGGTAGACACCAAATCCCAAACCGTTCATTCCCAAACCCAACTTACCTACCATAAGGGTCCAAGGGACCAAAGAATTTGGTGCTTGGGTTTAGGACAGGTTAGGTTAGTAGTTTCGTAGGCTGGCATTTGGGGGAGTATGTGATCATCGGTACCTTTAGACAGGAGCCTGAGCGGCAGCATCCTTCCCTAAACCCTAAACCCTTACTTCCCTAAAACCCCACACCCAAAGCCTAAACCCTGAAATCTGAAACCGTAGTGATCAGCCGAGCGTCGCTGCCCAGGATCTGGATGACGGCCGCCGGACACTGCTCCGATATCCGACTCGGATCCTGTCGGCGAGTGTAATGTAGGGCCTTAACAACTAGAATAGGGTTCCGTTTATGGGTTCCTCTAAGGGTTTGCTATAAGGTTTTGGTTCCTTTGAGAGATCCACTAAGGGTCGCGATAAGGGGATACAAAATATTGGTTTTATCAGGAGCCCAACGAGGAATAGGAATGGTAATTGCTCAGTATTCTCGGTTCATCTGCCTCTGTGGGTTCCTTATGTTTTGCTATATGTCCTTGAAAAGGTCGGTTGCTTGGGGTTAAGGTGGGGTTTATGATCAAAAGCTTAGGATTGGAGCAAACTAAAATCGAAACCCTAGCCCTATACAGAAGCAAACGTAAGGATAGGGATGTCCCATGTAGACCCCCTTATAATGAAGCCCAATAAGGTAGGGATATCCTTATAACATGCTTATGCTTATGCGCTTCTTGGGTCCCTAAATACAGTTCAACGCCCTCCCCGCAAGGGTCGCACGGCCTCTGAACCCGCGCTGAGAGCTGAAGCCGCATAGCGCGAGAAGGCTAGCAGCTCCTCTCAAGACGAAGTTTAGGGTTTGGGTTCAGGGTGAAGGGTGAAGGGTTTAGGGTTTCATGGTTGTTTCGGGGTTTAGGGTGTAGGGCTTAGGATGTGTCTTCATCGTGTGGTTTTTGGCGGTTTCCATAGCACCTCAAGCCCAAATGCTAAACTTAAACCGAAACTTCTAGACCCCGAACCTGAAACCCTCAGCTCTAAATGGTGTCTATAGATTTGTGTGTAGACTGTTAGAAACCCTACAGGGACAGTGAGGGCCGAAAGTGTTCGGTATGGGTTTATGGCGGTTTACGGGGTTCCTTTAAGCGTTTCTTTCAGGGTTCTAGTCGGGTCGATGGCTCAGGATCTAGAGGGTCGTTTTGGTGCTCTTGAACTAAAGATTCACAGGAATCAATAGGTGTAGGGGCCTAGGTAATTAGGGTTCAGGGTTCAGGCTTTGAGCGTTTATGTCAGTGGTATGTGGGCTGTCGGGCGCGAAGTTTAGGGTTTGGCGGTTCGGAAGGCTTCAAAATCAAAAACATACGGGAGCTTGGGATAAACATCCTTCAAGGGATTTTGGAGTCTAAACTCCAAAACCCTACATCCCAAACACTGACACTGAGACTCAGCGAGCATGGCGCATCCTGGAACCCTAAACCTTCAGCTACACCTGGGCTCAGGGGGATTAGGATCTAAGCGGATCCAATATAAGGGCCTTAATGATTAGAATAGGGCGAGCTCAGAGAAATAGTATTTACGTAGCTCTCATAGGTGCGACCGCTACAATAGACCTGATGCCGCGAGATAACCACCGAAATGCCACAGCACGCGTACAGGAAACCCTACCTAAACCCGGAATCCCAAACCCACAATCCCACAAGTATAGGACCAGGAGGATATGACGGCAACAGCTCGAAACCAAAACGATGTCAGAGCCAAGGGGTCGTGCCCTGTCCCAAAACTCGTCTCTTGTTAACGTATCTAACTTAATTAGTTACCATACTACCTATAATAAACTCTAGATTTCTAACTTAAGGTATAAGTTCCTTAACAAGAGCCGAGCAAAACGCCCTAAGTTCAAGTTCAGTTTTGTGGGACAAGCATCAACCCTAAACCCTATACAGACCGTGAGGCACACCAAGCCTTCGCCCTTCAAAGCTACGGTGGCCGACCACAATCTGGGAGTTTCCGAAAATTAGGGGTACCGTATTTGGGGTCCTTACAGACAGGATCCTAGTATTCAGGGTGCTATACTAGGATCCCCTTTTTCGGAAACTCCCACTAAAAGGGATGTTTCAACTTCTTGGTGGCTCTGCGGTTTTGTATTTTTACGATGCGCCGAGAACAACCTCGGACCCTAAAACATTACGGGATCTACTTTCTAGACCTCCCAAGATCTCGGCAAGGCTGATGCACTGTGGAATCGAAAGCCTAGCGAGTCAAACGGGCGATGAATTACACTAAAGTCTCCTATAAACCTTCTCGATTACGAAACCCCGATCCCTCATCTTCCCAGGCCCAAAATATCCTAAATCCCAAAAAGAACCACTACAAAACTCTCTTCTTCAACAACCGGGCCCAAACAAGTTCAAGATAGAGCTAATATACAAGGCCAAAAAGTTTAAAGTTCCGCCGTTCACTATCTAAGAAAACCCCATAGGCCCAAAACACCCGGACCCAGAGTGCCCTCCTGGGGATGCAAAAATAGTCGTCGAGCAACCCGGTTTTGAGTCTCTCGGTAGGACCTGCGTTCCCAGAGAGCCCAATATCCCTGAATGAAGGGGTATATATACCTTAAACCGTTAATAGTAGCCCAATATGCCTGAATGAAGGAGTATACCTTAAGCCATGAATAGTACCGGCCCGAAACGCGAAAATTTAAGGTATTTTCCTGAGATTAGGAGCTATTGGCATCTCTGTGTTGTCAGCTGCAGACAAGCACAAGCGAGGTTGTTAGCACTTGGGTTGCTCGGATGCGACATAGACCTAAAAGCTTGAAGATCCCGAGCCCTGCATGGGAGATTCCGAAAACACGGGACCGAAATGAAGTGCCCTTGACAGTAGGATCCTTATTATAAGGACCCCAAAATAAGGTATCTAATTTTCGGAAACTCCCATATTAAAACTACCCAAAAGCCCGAAAACCCGGCATCCCAAAACCCTCTCGCAACCCGAAACCTAGAAAACTTTCTGGGCCCTTCTCCAGATCTGAGCACCTCACGGCACAGCAGCTCTGAGGTTCTGCCGCAAAGTGTCGCAGTAATGCTGCTAAAGCTTGGCGAACTTAACCCTGAAGCTCTGTGTGGGAGCGTTGCAATATCTGGTGTCTCTTACTTACGGTGTACTATCGTATGATCATACTGAAGGCAGTACGAAAACTATACCGGAATACTGCGGCTCATTATTCCGACCCCTTTGCTACATGAAGTAGGGTTCAGAAGCATGCTTACCAGTGTCGTCGCAAGCACACACCCAATATCTGTTCGTCAATGTAATTGAAACGAGCAAAAGAACAAGGAGCCCTGTGAAGGTTCACCAAAAGCCCAACATACACTGCACTCCACTAGAAAGTACCCCAAAAGCCTAAACCCTTAACCTTAAATTAAACCCTAAACCCTAAACCTTAAACCCAACCAAAGGGCTCCCAAGTCGGGTTATGATAGTTCTTCCTATCGAGGATAACATCCCGGCAGCATACCCTTGAGTGGCTTTCTTTGTAACTGTCCAAGAAGCAAATCACCACTACTGCAACGGTGCGCCTAACAACCTGGCTTGCACGTCTTATAATGCTCACCTTTAGATACGCTGCGCATGATCTCAGGGTCTACGCTTTGGGGTGCCGATCTGCAGGTGAATGCGGCGAAAGCATCCGGAAGGCCCTATGACAACACGAAAAGAATCCCCAGCGAAGCCCCAGGCATAAAGCAAAGAACCCTGGCCAAAACCTAAACCCTAAACCACTAAATCCTAAATCGTTCCTAAACCCTAAACCCTGAATCGTCCCTAAACCATAAACCCTAACCCCTAAATCGTTCCTAAACCCTAAACCCCAAATCGTCCCTAAACCCCCAAACCCTGAAACGCGAGTCCCTAACCCCTAAACCGTCACCCAGACCTCCCGGTCACCCTAAACTCGGCCTGTCGACGGCGTACACCTGGGAGCCGACCTCAGCTGATGTAAGGGCCTTAACGGTTAGAATAGGTGAATAGGGTTCCTTTAAAGGGGGTCTATAAGGGTTGTTGCTATAATGGGGTCTATAAAGGTACAGGGCCTTGCTGGTTAGAGTAGAGTTCCTCAAAGGGGTCTACAAGGGTTGTTGCAATAAGGGGCTCTATAAGGGTATTATTATGATATATGATGTAAGGGATGCAGACAACAGGTGTTTAGGCTTGGGGAGTTTAGGCAGTTTGTGGTTCCATGCTCCAGGGTTTAGATGTCTAGTTGTGGGTCTTTGGTGGCATGTATGCAATGCCAATGACCTGTATCGGTAGGGATTGCGGGGGCAAGCAACAGTAGCCTGCACCGGAATCCAACACGCAATGCTCTGAACCCTCAAACTGCCAGCCCTGACTGAATCCTGCTTCAAGGTTCATGGGACCTAGTAACTAGGACACTTGTAATCACTGCATTCTTCACCCTACAAAGAGGCCCCATAGTAGCTCCATTTTGCTATAACCTTATAGGCTTTGTATATGAACCCCAAAAAGGAACTACTTTGGGGCCTCTGGGTACTCACTAAGTGCCATGATCCTCCGAGCACAAGCCCAGGAGGTCGCCTCCTCAGCCACCGCGGTCAGAGCCCGCGCGTCACTGCCGCGAAGACCGCCATGGACGAAGGCTATGGCGTCGCCGTGAGACAGCCTAAGGCTCTCGGGGGTTTTAGGCTTGGCCTTAACCAAAGTCTACGTGTCTGTACGGTGCTTGTACATTTCAGATTGAGTTTTACAAGAAGAACCTAGAACGAAATCCAGGGTGTGGTAGTTCAAGAGGGCTTTTAGGGTTGAGGGCCGTCTGTTCCGCTATCAGGCTGTGGATCCGATCTTACTGGCGTTCGGATACCCGGCTTATGTAGATCTGTAAAATGTAAAAGGCTGAAGGCTTGGGAACTGTGCATGACTTGCAACGATGTGCTGAGTCACGCTGCCTTTGGCTGCTACCGACGAACGACGATAACAATTGCATGTTGATCATTGCGGCAACAGCACTGGCCCTCATCGTGATCCCAACACGTCAAGCCTTCAACGATTTATTTAGGGTTTAGGGTTTCAACCCGGAACCTTCGAAGGACACCAACAAAAGTGCTGTCCGAGATCACTCGCCCCTGCTCTCCCGTCTCCGGCGACACCTCCTCCTGCCGGAACAACTCGGGCATGTAAAGTTGAAGACTTAAAGGTCTCGAGTTCAGCGTTTTAGGATTTAGGGTTTAGGGCTTCAGGGGTTTAGGGTGTGCGTGTGCAGGGCTTAAGATTTAGCATTTAGGGCTAAAGCTGAGGGTTTAAGGTCACAGGTGTAGGGCTCAGGGTTTTCAGCTTAGAAGGCCTTGCAATCAGGATTTATGGTCAACGGACCAATATCACCAGACGATGTCCAGGATTCTAAAAAATACTAAGAATGCCGGACTCCAAAACACCGGGGTGCCTGGAACACCCTCAAACCTAAACCCTCCTTTCCCCAAAGGGTCATAAGAGTCCTAAGCACCTATACGGTAGAATGTAGGGTTTCCATATTTGGAATTACGTGTCTCATTTGGGGAAGTACGTCATAACAGTATCTAAGACCCTCTCTAGGGTTTCTACTTTTCGAACTCGGAACTGCTATCAAGATTTGGGGAAGTATCCCCAACAACAATACCAAAGACCCTTTTTTTCTTACGCAGCCTCAGTGAGGCGGCTATTGAGCACCTGCCGCTCTGCGCAGGTCTCCAGCATGACCTGCCGGCGCAAACCCTGAAAAGTTGAGCCCAACTGAACCCCCCACAGTCGGTTTGGGGGGTTTAGAGTTTAGGGGTTTAGGGTTTAGGGGTTTAGGGTTTAGGGTTTAGGGTTTGGACTAAACCCCCAACAGTAGGCAGAATAATGGCCCAAAACAAGCAAACAAGGCTACCTTGTTCTACATATACTTCTGGGGCCAGGAAATCCCTCAGCCCGAACCCTCAACCCCGAACACCGAAGCCTGACAGATTGGACAGGCAGATAGGTTCATTAAAACCCTAAACCCTACAGCTTCGGCATTTGTTGCTGGACGTTGCATAAACCTCCACGATATCACAGTCTCACTTTGTGCCGTCTTTTGGTTCTCAACCGAGATGTTATGACTCGTTGCGTAGGACTCCAAATTCTTGAAGTTCAACAAATATAGAATCCAAACCCTCTGCATAGTGTGGAAGCTGAGAAGCAGTAACCCCAAACCCTAAACCCAAAACCCAAAACCCTAAACTCTGAAACCCTCAAACCCTAAAACCTCGAACCCCGTAGGGTCCTTGCAGTGACCATCAGCCCCGGCCCCAGACGGCCCTAGACCCGGATATCTAGAACGGCCGATGCTACTCCTGGAAAGAACCCCGCAGAACCTCTAAGACACCCCATATATATATATATATATATATATACATATATGTATGTATATTATATATATATATATATATATGAAATCCCCATAGGCTCGACAGGCATCTGACGCAAAACCCTGCACAAGTTGCCCAAAGTCTCCTGCAACAACTTCCATTAAACCCTGCAGAACATCTCTTGTTGAAGGCCTGCTGCGGCCGCTAAACCCTCAGCCCGCAACTTAGCCACGCTGCGAACCAGAATAAACATAGTGTTCTTATTAATCCCCTCAACTTCTATGACAAGGAAAAACCAACGTCATTCCCTAGTACTCTAGTCCCCGGAACCCTGATCCCGAAACCCTAAAACCCTATAATGTAGGGGCCTTAATTTTAAGCGGTAAAAGGTAATAAACCCTAAACCCAGGGCCTGCTGTGGTCGCTTGTCTCGGAGGGCGGCCGCGGCATGCCCCAACTGAACGGGAGAGCCGTCCAGGGAAAGGAACTGAACTCCGCCGACTGCCTGCCAGGCTTGGTTTAGGGGTTTGGGGTTTATTATACTGAACTTGGAACCCTAGCAAAAATTCTAACTGTAGCTGCTTCTTAGGGATTATAATAACCAAAAGTTTAAAACTATTTCTAAGTACTCCTAAGTTTAGGGTCTTCTTAAGTAGTCATAAGGCCTAATCAGGCCTAATCTTATAGCAGTCAAGGTTTGCAGAAATAGCATAGTAAAAAGCTCTTGGCCAGCATCGAGGAGTTCAGACGATGAATTAATTAAACAAAAAACAGGATTTGAAATAGGATTTTGCATAGGGTCAGAAATCGGAATACGATACAGCTTAGGAAGAACATAGAATGTAAATAGGATGAAAATTCGGCATAGGAGGTCAGCGTGCTTGGACTATGATTGACAGGTGCCGGAGGAGGAGGGGGAAGCGAGAAGGAGCTTTCAGCACGCCGCCTCCACCTCCTACTCCCCTAACTCCGTTCCTGCCTGTGTCCCGGCACCCCAGAGCGGCAGTGGTGGGGGGCGGGGGCGGTGGCAGACTGGCAGAAACCATCTTTTCCTATTGTTGCCCATATTTTTCAATTTTTTCCGATTTTTCATCGGGAAAAGCAAGAAATCGCATTCTCCTGAACATTGGAAAAAATAGGAACAAAGATAGGAAAAAAGTAGGAGGCCGCTGAGGCCCCCCCTCTCCAACCCCCCGCTGTCCTATTTGTTTCCTACGTTTTTCCTATTGCGTAACTTCGTTCCTGTTTTTTTCGTATCCATGACTCCTACTTTTTTCTACTTTAATTATTTCCTGCATTTCTGATGGCTGGCTGACGATTCCCTTTACTAAGTAGCACACAAGCTGAGGCTACATCGAACTTCAGTCCCAAATTGCCCCAAACGCCGAAACCACACATCAACCCTGCGCGGACACACGGCTCCGTGCAAAAAACCGCCCTGACCCTGTAATGACTTTACCCTAAACCCGGCAAACACTACACAAAGCCTGAACGATGAACACCTTCCCTACTCACACTGTCTGTCTGGCTCTGAGTAGGGAATGGGGGAATGGATCCCTATATGATAGTCCCTTAAAATCTCCTTAAAGTAGTCCCAATATCCCATTCCCCCATTCCCTACGAAGACTAAGAGAAACAGACTCTAAAGCTCTAAACCCTAAACCCTAAACCCTCAACCCAGAACCCCTAAAGCAGCAAAAAGCTATTACCGAGATTGAACCCCAAGTCCCTATATTCCGGCGCTTTCCGATCCCCTAAGGTAGTTCCTTTTTGGGGTTTCCTATTTAGAACCCTGTAAGGTAATCCCAAAAAGGGACTATAGCATAGAGCCTATGCGTAAACCCTAAACCCTAACCCCCCAGAGAAGCCAATAACCCTTAATTAAGGAATACCCCTTAAATTATAGGGGCCTTCATAATATGATTTAAGGTATATTCCCTAACTAAGGGGTATTGGGATCCTCTGGGCCTAAATCCTGGTAAGGGCGCCTCGGCGAAACTCCGAGCTTCCGCCGGACGCAGGCGGGAGAGCGCGGTCAGAGGCCGCCACATGCTGAGCTTCAGAGAAATCCCAATACCCCTTAATTAAGGAATATACCTTAAATCATAATATGAAGGTCCCTATAATTTAATGGTATATTCCTTAATTAAGGGTTATTGGGTTCTCTGGGTTCAGAGAGTCTTCCAAAGAAACTCAAAGTAAAATAAACATGGCGATAGGGATCCGCATTTAAATATCTACACGGTTTTCCTTATTGTGGTAGTGTAAGATTGCCAGTATAAGCTCCCTCTCAAGAACCTGGTAACCTAGTTAAGGTTAGGGCTTTGGGGTCTGGGGTTTGGTGCACTCTTGAGGCAGATGCGCCAACGCACTCTTAGGTAGCGCGGCCGTATTTCACCCCGGTGCCTCAGGCCCGACGTCTTCAACTTCAAACCAAATTGCACCCTAAAGTCTGAAGCCCATACGGCTCTAAACCAATAGTATTCGAATGCCTTACAGAAGCCCCTTCAAAGAACTCTAGGCTCCAACTTATCCCGAGCAGTATACCCTAAACACTACACCTTATGCACCTGAACCCTTAAGCAAACCCTAAATCCTTCTTCATGCATTCGGACGTGTGCTGATTGGCTGCCGGACGGAAGCTTCGGGTAGGCGCCGAGTGGTCACGGAGTTTCTGTGAAAAGGGGTCTGTGTTTAGAATTAAGGATGAAGGCATGTTATCAGAGATTTGCACGGCTGGAAAGTCCCTACATACAACGAGCGTGATCAGCGGTTGAGGTGCTTCTTGGTGGCTCCCATTCAGGGTTGGAGGTCAGGCTCGAAGATTGAGGGTCTGGCGGTTTGGGCTTGAATGTGAAGGTTTCTTAACAGGGCCGAATGAACTGTGTCAAGTTTTCGATGTCACTACATCATTTCATCCTACATTGGGCATCATGAGACTGTTGTGACAGACTCACACAACTGAGGCCTTCTTCCTAATCCCTATCACTTAAACATCAATCCCCTAAGCTGAACCGTATTGTTCCGCCGCTCTACCGAAGCTGAGGGGGTTCCATGAAGGGATGCCGCTTTGTTAAGTAAACTTATATAGTAATTACTATACAAGACTCATTTCTAAAACTGTGTGCTACTGCACTATATAAACTATATGACTATAGACTATACCATACTGTAAGATAACTATAGGCTCATAACTGCTATCATACAGGTTCTGTATGCCATTACCATACCCCAGAAACACAATTCTAACATTATATGAAGTCCTATGTTCAGCAACCTTAAACCCTAAACTTAAGACTACGAACCAAGGACTGTTCCAGCCCCTGTGCCGGGCCTGGAAACGACGAGGCGGTGGAAATCGTGGATCGCCTGCTTGCGGTACTACGTTTTTCAGGGCTACGGGTTTGGGTATATAACGTTTCCCTTTTACACCAAGTTCACAGGGCTTGATTGAGGGTTGCCTGATTGAAGGTATGAGGATTTCAAGTGTTGTGCTAAAGGACTATACGGTCTAGTGCACAGACCTTAGGGTTAGAAGGAGAGGAGCAAACACGTCTTCCCCTCTAGTCATATCAAGTTTAATGACCAAAACCCATGATCCTACGAGTAGGTTCCAGGTTTTGAGCCTGACTTGGACCCAAGAGTATGTAGAATCAAAGCGTTTAAGAAGTATTGGGCCATTATTTGACCTACTTTTGCGGGTTTAGGTGGGGTTTACATACGGGTCTTAGGGCCATGAGTTGGGAGCCGGGTTTAGGGTGAGAGCGAACTTCGGAAGCGAGCACAACGTACGAGTAAGCCGCTGCTGTTAGGTTTACGGTTCAGGCTTTAGGGCTTCTGGTTTAGGGGCTTTTATAAGCCCCCCGTAAACCGGACCAGGTGATATGGCAGGAGAAGGAATATGTGACGGTTCGTGAGGAAGTATAGTCCCCCACCCCCCTCCCCTCTACCCCCTCGACCCCCCCCCCAAAGGGTCCCTATGTTTTAAGGCATTCAGGCTTGAAACTTGTCTTCTAGGGCTGTTGTATGGCAAAGATGTGACATCGACCCCAAGCCCCAAGGCCTCGACCATAAATCCCCAGCCCTAAACTGGGCTTGGAGTTTCGAAGGGCTTGGAACCAGCGCTGACCTATATATATATATATATGTTATATATATATATATATATTCATCTATTTCTTTATATATATATATATATGTATATGCTTAAAACATTGGTCCTATCCGGGATCTGCAATATAGGGGCCTTAATGCTTAGAATGGGGTTTTGGTGTTTTATGCGCTAGCACTGGGACTAAAGCCGCTCAGCGGCAATACCGATGCCCTGTGTTGCAATTCTGACACGAGACTCAGCATGTTCTACACAACCAACTCGAAATCAAGACTCAAACACCCTCAAACCCGCAAACAAATTAAACGTGAAATCCCTGAAGCCACCAAGAATGCTGACCCCTGAATCCTATGGCAGGATCACGGACTCAGCAGGTGGGCCAACAATCCCGACCCAACCCTGTACCATGGACCTCAACGCTAAACCCTAACCCAGAGATCCCAATACCCCTTAATTGAAGAATATACCTTAAATCATAATATTAAGGCCTCTATAATTTAAGGTATAATCCATAATTAAGGGGTATTGGGCTCTCTGGGAAACTACAAAGTGACTTCAACCCCACTTATGCCTACTTGCCGGATCCCCAGCGGCTCGCAATGAACCCCTACTTGGTTGGTCGGGGGACTTAGTAAGTAGTTAGTAAATAGACTTATAAGTACCCTAAAAGGGACCCTGATTGGGGTTATGGTAACCATGGTACTGTAAGTCCCTAAAATAACCAGTTACTAAATCCCCCGACCCTCCAAGTACTGCACCCGTCAAATTCTACCCCAGTGTGCATTCCAAATAGTGCCTGTCTGGATGGCAAAGGCCTGGCATTGGCAAGATCAGTGGTAAGTGGTAAGGTTGGAAGTAAGCTTCGAAGCAGAAAAACGGGGCCTTTGTATTGATAACCCAAAATACATTATATACATACTGCTTACTCACGCATATTTCTTCTGGCACCTGTGCTGCTGTAGGACCCTAGGAAATGTTGCTTATGAACCAAAGCCGACTTAGCCATCTGCACACAGAGCCTAACCAACTCGACAAACGAGCAAACTGCACACACACACACACACACACACACACACACGTGCTTATATGCATCCATTTGTTGGTTGGTGTGCTTAAATGGCCCTCTCCATATACATGTATACATATAGATGAACTGATACAGCATGCATGCACGCATGCTCTGCATGCTTCATGCACTCATGCTCTGCATGCTTTGCGTGAATGTATGAACAATGACTGAATATATGTATGTACATATGTCTGCATGCATGTATTGTATTGTATTAATATACTGTATTGTCATTGTTGTACTGTAGTAGTGTATTAACGTAAAGTATGAATGTATCGTATTGTATTGTATGTATGTATGCATGCATAGGTATGCATGACTATGT